GGGGCTAAGAAGAAGCGTAGGCTATCACCACAAAAGACAGGCTTATTACCACCTTTGACTATCCAATCACCGCTACTTATAGTTCGGTATGATTATGTTTATACTCATCCTCATGTCCAACCACCACCACAGTTCATACCAACACTTAGATATAGGACTCCCTCTCTGTTGATCCTTGCACCCACGTCTCCCTATATCGACAAGACATTTGAGTCCGATTCTGATAAATCTTCTGTTCCACCTTCAAGGTTTTCGGAGACGGATACTTCTAATAAGATACATATTAGACCTGTTGGGGAAAACGAGTAAAATTTTAATAATTATATGATAAGATATTGATTTATTCTATTTAAATTATATGACTAATAATGTGGTTGTTACTATGTTTCAGTTTGATTCTCTTACTGAGGCCACTCACATGATTGCATCTATCATCAAGACAAGATATATATATATATATATCATTTTATCTTAGTTGGAGGATGATTCCTTATGATATATAGTTTAAAGAATTTAAACTACGTATTTAGTAGTTAATTATTTTATTTAAATGATAATATTACATTAACAATTTTTAATTTTCGAATTGTGTAGAAATATTTCATATGGGATGCGGAGAATGAACCACTTCTTAGAAAGATTTTTAATTAGTATAGCAGTTAGAGGTTGTTTGATATGGTTTTAAAGGCAAGAGCGAGAGGAAGAAGGCTTGACTGGATTATCTCTTCTATATGGGACAGACTAGTTAAATATCGGTAGGATGAAGAATTTCAATGCCTGAGTGCCCAGAATAAGGATAATCAGCATTTTGAGAAGGGCAGCAGCTTCATACTAAAGGTTCTATCCCCCTCCCACAAGCATGCTCAAAGAATGGTATGAGATTAATTATTTTAATATAAATATTTATTATATATTAACTATGTTCATTTATTATGGTAGGCGCAAAAGAATAGAAATGTTTTGTCAATTGCAGAAGTTTTCAGGCATTATCATGTTAAGAGAAAGGAGAAGGAGAAAAAATGGGTCGATTAATGGTCCAAAAGAACATTTGTGTGTTAATTTAATGTGATATATAAGCTAAAATTTTTGCATCACACTATCATTTTGTATATTATTAACGTTTCCACTTATACTTTTAAGTAGAACAAGTATAGTACAATCTTGAGGAGATTCAGTCTTCTCAAGTGTTAGTTGGAGGTTTAGATATTCTAGATAGTGGTCTAACTTATTTAGAGACATAAATTTGGGCGTGTGTTGTTGGCAGGAGGACAAAGGTTTGCATATATCGATTAGGACTACAACCATCTCCAGGCACACATTCCTAATCAATATTCTCTACTTTATCATCATCTCACACTGTAAAGTTGGAAGTAGAGCTAGCTAAGATACACTAAAAGGTAGAAATAATGGAGATGACTGTGGGGGTTATGAATGAGATTATCTAGAAGTTGTTGAGCATGATGGAGAGGTCTGAGCCTCACATTTCATCATCTATCCCACCATCTAGAGCTAGTGCACTTACGTCGTCATTGCCGATTTCTAGGCATCCATTCGATAACGAAAATACATTGGATGAGACTAACACACAATAGTACTTTATATATATTATTTGTTTGGGACATGCTTTTGTTTGTGTTTCAGATATTTTAATTTGTATAGGAAAATATTTATTTTTAATATGAAATAATTTTTATTTCATTAATATACTATTAAATATTTAAATTTCAATATTACGTGGACAGTTACTAATAATTTATATTTGATGAAATATAAAATATAAAATTTTTAAAAATATATAAAAATAAATTTTGGAATAATCATAAAATAATATAAAATATAAAAAAATAAAATATCTAATATAACAATACAGAAATTGGAAAAAAAAATATAAAATATAAAATAAAAATAATTAAAAAAATGCTGCTGGAAATGTTGTTAGAAATGCCATCAAAAATTCCATTAAAAATACCACAAGAAATGATGCCAGAAATGCCATCAGAAACAACACTAGAATTTTGTCAGAAATGTCGTTGAAATTCCACCAAAAACGCCATTGAAAATTCTGCCAGAAATGCAACTGGAACCACTGTTGGAAATTCTATCAAAACTGCTATCAGAAATTCTGTCAAGAATTATGTTGGAAATGCAATCCAAAATTCTGTCAGAAATTATGTCAGAAAGATTGTTGAAAATTCGGTCAAAAAGATTGTTAGAAATTCTATAAGAAAATTCATCGAACTGACCACTTTTTATTGTCCGATGACCTTCATTTCTGATTGAAGTTTTTTTTTTTTTACCAAATAATTTTTTCCATCGAAAATTTTCTAACAAAAAGACTTTTCTGCCATAAATCATTTTTGATAGTTGTTTCATCAATAGTACTATGTTCATTAAATATGTACATTTTCAATGAAAATGATGACTCTTCCAATGAAAACTGTCTATCGAAAATCATATACTTGTAGTGTATTCTAATGCCCTTCTTATCCCCCCAGACTTAAGGCCTAGATTAAATTAAATCACTAATTTAATTTTTTCTAATTTTACTTAAATTAGTTGCAAAACATAGATTTTCTCTTCCTAATCCATCACTTTTTTCTCCATTTCTTCTACTATCATACCAATCTCGTATTTTTTTTTGTTTCCTAGTGCTTCTTTAACACCCTTCTAAAGTGGTGTACAAGAAAAATAAAAATAGTTTCTCTCAAGTATAAATTTTTCCTAATATGCAAGTAATGTTCAAAATGCATGAAATTCATCTAGTGATGCATATGCTAATGCTATGCATGCCAATATACTAATATTATGCATTCCAAACTTGGTTTGGAATGTTACGCTTGGGATCCTACCTTTGCGGTCTGTGGTAATGCCATTACTATGATGCTATTTTTAATAACTCAAGGAGATAATGCATACAAGGCAACCCTTTGGGAATCAGCCATTTTCAACATCCATAGCTTATATTATGCCCAAAATACTACAGATTAGTCATTCCGAAATTTTTACTCCAACCATGATAGAAATCCTAATTGGTTAGGACTTTATGGCCAGATATCCTAACTCATAAAATTGTATCACTTTAGCTCCTTCATAAATTGCTAAAATAAATTAAAATTTGGCATTTTCAATAGTTTTGCAATCCAAAAAATTTAACTTACATGGCACCAAAAAAAAAGAAAAACCTAGAAGTGAAAGATTTTAAAGCAAAAAAATAAGATCATAAAATGATTCATCACTTTCCACAAGTTTTGGCATGGTCTGTTATCTTTAGAAGTGTGTAGGCTACCTTCTGATTCTTGAACCTTTGGAGTGTGAAGTAAGTCTCTAAATAGTCTAACCATGAATTTAGTTGTTCAATTTATGCATTCCCATCATAAACTGATATGTCTTCCTTGACTTCCACTTTGAAATAATTTTCGAGCCATGGTGGTTTTGCTCGTAAACTATCTTCATCATCGTTGTCATCACTATCGTTTGATTTAGTATTTTGCCCTTTGAGTAAAGGTAGTCCAGTATTGTTCTATTCTCTTGGAGGTATTATAGATCAACTTTTAATCCAGTTGAGTACGACACCATAACTATTGATAGTTTAGCAACTTGTTTGACTATTTGTCATTGATATTGGCCATTAGATTTGTTATAGATTGGATTGGTTGATAATGAATTTGTAATACCTAAAGAGATTCTCTAGTTACTTTATGTCGTATCTAGTTTGCACTATTCACAATTAGAACAGATGCTCTAGTATCAACAAATATGTTCCATATAGAATTCTTTAAAGCAAAATAATAGCATAGGACTGAATTGAACAAATCTGAATTAAAGAGAAATAAAGAGAAGATACAATAACAAGTGACAAGAGTTCTAATGACTCGATAATAAAATAATTTTTTTACAAAGACCAAAAAAGGAAATTTCCAATTTAATTTTCCTTAGCCTTTATACTTCTACTGGAGAGTTAGCCGAAAGTGTTGATTTTTCCACCTTTCGTTCCTTCCCCCCTTCTCTCTCTCTCTCTCTCTCTCTCTTCTACTTATTTTCTTTTTCTTTCTTCCTCTTTTATTTTCTCTCTCTCTCTTTGGGTTTTCATTCTCTTTTCTTAAGTCCATCTTTTTATTATTTGCCTCTTCCTTTTGACTTTTTTTTTCCCGTCATGAACAAGAGCAGTTGTCTCCTTGTGTCATCTTGACAGAAGAACTTATTCGATAGAACTTCTTACTTAAGCTTAGTAAATAAAGAATTAGAAATCTCTAAGTGATTGTGTTTATCGACTTGTTACCCTAATATATGGTGAAGGTCCCTTTGTGATCGGTCATTCCATCCCAACTAGGTAAGCTGGGGCACCTTGTATGAATAGTGTTAGTGTTGCAATGTGCCTCAGGTCTTTGACATGATCCATGGTGCTCCGAAATGGCAACCCCTGCACCTAAGTGTTTAAGCTCACTTCAAGTGCTCTTTGATCTAATTATGAACTTCACTTTTCATATATGATGTAAGCTCAAGTTTGTAGTAGACTGGACATAGGCTATACAGTGGCAGCATTAAGTAGTTTTTTATCTAGTCCTAAGAGTCAACATTAAGTATACAAATTCCGATCTTACTAGGTGCCCTGTAATTCTGGTTCCATTAGCAAAAATACCCTATTTATATGTAAGTATGTATGTGCTTGGAGTCAGGGGATGATATGGGGATGTACAGTTTTTTGTCAAACCAGCATTCACCCTTCTATTCCATACAAGATTTCTATTCTCCTTCTTGATGCGTTTTGTCAAACGCAAAATTTTAATGATCATTTAAGTCCAATGATACTCCATAGGTTCAAAATTGAATTAAATACTCTCAACCTACGAAACTAATAGAAATGTATTAAAGAGTGATACATTTCCATAAAAGTCTATCAATATGTCTTTAAATTAATAAAAAAAAAGGACATTTGAATTTCATGGTATGTAAAGTGTATGGTAGTGACTGCAATCCTACTTGGCTACACTTCGAACATTTCAGATGGGAGTAGGCTTGCGACTGTGGAGCATTCCAGATTCTTTATTAATTGAAGAAAATATTCTACATGAAGTTGTATCCATTTTTCTTGAAGCCATGGGAAAGTTGGAGCAAAGTAGTTTTTGGATCATTGCACCTGGGAACTTGAAGGCTGGGGGCTTCCTCATGCTGGTTTCAGGGGTGCCTCCATCCTTTACTACGAAAACTGTGTTCATTCCCCAAGAAAGATGTCTATCAAAATGGCAATGCCAATACCATACACCTGGCACCAAAATAAAAAAAAAAAAAGTAAAACATTTTTAGATTTTTTTAATTACGTATTGTTTAAAATTTATTTTTTTAGGTTTTTGAAAACATTCAAAAAAAAAAAAAAAGAACAAGTTGCCCATCAGACCCAAGTTCAGAGAGCCTCACTAGCTTCAGACCTTTTACAAATTTATTTTTAGAATAATTTATTAAAGCAAAATCCATCTTTAGCTAGAAAATTACAATATTTACATTATTTTTGAAAATAATCTGAAAAATAATATTGTTTTGCCCAAAACACCTTCAAATTTGCAAAATCCGAACATAAGAATTATGTTTGAACTCTTTGTAATTTGGAGTTTATTTTAAAATAAATTACCTGGGTTGTTTGCTATAAATCTTATGGTAGCCCATCCTTTCCTAGGAACAGCAAATGTGTTGAGCTGTGGAGGGTCAACTAGATTGTACCCCTTCGGATCAAAATTCGGGTCAAAATTCCCATATCCAAATCCAACCACATAAAAACTATATCCATGCATATGCATAGGGTGAGTTTCAGGTGTATCAAGGGTATTAGTCCCTTGAAATATGATCTCCACACTCTCATTATATCTTAAAACCTTAGCCTTCGTTCCGTGATCCGGTACTGTGGTATTCATTGGCAAATCGTCGCTGGTGAAGTTGAAATAAGTAGGCGGTTGGTCGGGAAAATCATTAGTGTAAACGCCACTTAAATTCCTGCAAGATTTTCCAATAATATAAAATTATGGGCAATTGACATAATAATCAACAAATTAATTAGGAAGTTTAACAAGTACAATATAATTATAAAGAGAAAAACAAAGACGGCATAATTAGTAAATTAAAAATTAAATATCTTTAGTCTGACTTGAATATAAGCCTAAATAAAAAAAAGGTAAAATAATTATGCTTTACTCCTTACAGTTTCAAGAAAATGTCATTTTTGTGCACGTGTTTCAATTTTAACTTTTTAATTCCAGAGGTGCAACTCATTGGTCCTTAATTAGCCTTTTCGACTAGAAAATTAATTTCAGCACACAAGCTCCAGTTTCTGCATATTTGAGGAGACAATAACACACCAAAAATTTTTGTTTATACTTTTACTACTAAATAAACTTTAAAGTTTTACATAAAAATTCAAAAAAAAATTCACAGGGGGGTAATTAAAATAGTGGGGGGACAAGTTTCTGAAGTACATAAATGCCTTCTTGTTTTTAAAAATTCATTTGAGGCAATTCACCCTATAGTCCCCTGCTTGTGCACATGTCCTTGTGAGGGATGGTGATAACCTCTAATATTTGTAAAATCAATTTTCCACCTTTCATGACTTCCAGTTGACAAAAACTTGAGAATAAATTGGGGTTCACAGGCCCATTAAAGAAAAATTTTGGGTTTTTCCTTCAGTAAAATAGAGACAAATTATATCATAATAAAAATTTTGAGAACCAAAACAAAGCCTAAATAAAAATTAAAGAATAAAAAATATAATTTTCAATAAGTTATATAGCTAGCTTTTTCAGTGTGTATATAATTTGCGTACCAATAATAAGCGGTTAAAACATCGGTATTAGGATTCACGAAAGTTATATTATTCAAAGCAGATTTGAGTTTTTGATTTGACTTTTCTGAAGAGACTCCGTTGCATGAATCATTTCTACAAGTTAGACGGCCCATGGAAACCGTTATAAACATGCGGGTGGAGATCTCCTTTGGAACCTCGACCGGTGGTCATGATTCACTAAGCTTCTTAATCGATACAAGAACTCATCCGCCTTGTCCGAATCCTGAAAATAGATTCATAAAGTCAAAATTAAACTTAACTTAGAGTATTGCATTATTATTCACAAATCATAAATTAAATTCAAACCAAATATTTTTTGAAAAATTGAGTGGAGGATATGACTTTTGGGTTTCTTGAATGTTTTCTAACTAGGAGAAAGACGAGGTGGCAGGATGATGATTGCAAGACCTAATATATTTTCACTATTTTAGAATAAAAAAAAATTGTGGGTTCCCCTCTCAAATTTTAAAACAAAATAGTTAGCCCTACAACTTTTTCTTTTATTCTTTTCGGCAGCTTTCTAAGTTCTTTCTTATTCGCACATCATACCTGAAATGAAGGGAGGGCAGAAGGGAAGACAGGGTGTGATGGACGAGTATAGTTGCCTTTGTACTCTAAAATTGCAGTGGTGTTTGTGCTGTCATAAGCTTGGTAGTCTTGGTTGGCGGAATCATACTCCCTGGTGGCCATGTAATAGAGGCCTAAAGGCTGGTTCGCTGTCAACAAAATATCCATGGTTTGGCCAGGAGATATCACAATGTACGAAGTCATTATGGGCTTCAGGTAGTTCCCGTCCATGCCCACGACGGTTAGATTGTGTTGGGCTATGGCAAAGAACATGTCCACGTTCATTACTGCATTCACTATTCGAAGAAGGTAGGTCTTGCCATAATCCACAACCTTCCGATAAGTTCCTTCTGCAACACAAAGCTTGGCTACTAGTGAGCAAGAAATAGTTAAATAAAGTCTGCTAGTAATGTTAATATGTTAGCATGTCAATATGAATGGTCGATCGTCTTTCACAAAATGTCCACGATCTAGGACCACAAAGGCATTAATGGTGCCTTTTGAGAAAATGACTGGTGCGAAAGACATATATATATATATATATATATATAAGGATTTACTATCCATATAACAAAAAGTCCAATTCATAATTAGCAAAACACCACTTGCACAAATCTCTTTAAGATATATATATATATATATGGAGAGAGAGTGGGTGGGGGGGGGGGGGGCGAATGACCCAATTAAATCCTATACAGACAAAAGTCCAGTTAACCATAATGACCTAACTGTATGTTTTTTTAAACACATTATGAATGGAACTAGTTTTCTATTTTTGATGGAGAACTAGGAAAATCCAGTTCTAACAGAATTTTCAAGCATAGAGTGACATTGTTGGTGCATTGGCATATAATTGGAATTGTTGTTGAGTGCCACATTAAGATGAGAACCTATGAGTACTTCATAGGCTTTTATATGGTTTGTGTGGAATTGGTTATTGAGAATTGAAATAAATTATTTAAACTTCTAGATTATCTCAAGTCTAAGTTTGAATATTGGATTAAGGCCGACGATGACAGTTTTGACCCTAAAATCGATCAAGATTTCCATGTTCGGCAAATGCAATAAACTACTTTTTTCTTCATATTTTTAAACAGTTTGTAATTGTGGTTTGATGTGAGAAAAATATTGCCTTTAAGAAAGTGATTGTGGAACTTATCTAAATAATTTTTATTCTTCTATAGATTCTATGTTTTCACCTACAAACAATTACAAAAAGGGATGAATTAAGAGAGAGGGGAAGGAAGTACCTTTAGAACAATTGCAAAAGTCTCCAGGTTGGCCATTGATGAGATGAGCATCGGACACTGGTAATTCATCACCACTTCGAAGATCTTCTAAAAGTAAGTAGTTTTACGTCTCCCTTGAACCAAGACCCTATAATTAAAATTGAAAGAGAAATATCAAACTTTCACCGACAAGTATAAAATTAAAACCAATGTGGGACCTACAGAATTGACAGAAAAAGTAGTCAACTTAAAAAGTTTTACGTCAGTTCTTTCCAACTTAGAACTTAAGCTTTCTTTCGTTGTCAAGTAAACAGTCAAAAAATACAAAGAGTGGGGGAGAGACACTATGCTCCACACGGAAGTTCAAAGTAGCACTTATTCTCTTAGTTTTTAAACCAAGCGCCACTTAAACATTATTGCACATCCTATCGCTACAGTGACGGCATGGTGCGCTGTGTCTTTGTCTTATTATTTTGCAGTAGGCAGTGACATGTATTCCATTTTTTCCTTTTGATGCAAATTGTTTTACTGAACCAGCTGGTCATCTGGTTCACAGTTGAACAAGTTCAATCTTGGTACGTGAGATCTAGTTTTGACTCATTATCTTTGATAGCAAGGATTTCAAAAGAAAGAAATAGTAAGCATTATTGGTTGCAAATGGAGGAGAATTGGCCTCACAAACATTGCAAAGGTGTTCAACGGGTAGGCCAATAAAATTATCTTAAAAGCTTCACGCCGGTCTTGTCTAGGTGGTTTTAGCTAGCTTTGACGAAAAGTTGCGTGGTCTTCTCAAACGTCATTCTACTTTTCAACCAAATTTCTGGACTAGAAGTTCGGTTACATTCAACAGTTCCAATTAAGTTTAGAAATCTCATAAGTTTTTGAACTAGGCAATAGTTTACTTGATAATTAAAAAAGCCAACGAGGAAATTGAAGAGCCAATGCATTCATGTTTCAATAACCTTCAAACTAATGTAACTAGTGTCTATAATTGGATGCTCAAATAACCCTCATCCCAAGTTCCTAAATTAGCTACGCACATGGATCCTTCTTCTCCATTCTGTTAATTTATTACGCTTTATGCCAAAACTTGTATGCCAACAACTTAGAAAGAAGGCCAAATACGAATAATAATAGTTCATGGGGACCTTTAGGTCTGGGTTCAATTGCTTGCTTTTGTATCATAAGAAATTTCTTTTATTCAAAAGACAATGAATGGGAGATATGTAATATAGAATTAAAAATAGTTATTGTGAAAGTAATTGCAAAAGAAATGCATAAAATCTTTGAAACAATATGAAAAAAGTATTTTAAAGCATACCTAGAATTATGATTTCTTCTTCATCAGGTTTAGGAAATGGATAAGTAGTGCCCAGCCTTGGATAGACCACGATGGCACCATGGACAGTGTTTCGTGTCCAATCACTATGAGCATGCCACCAGAGAGTTCCTTCCTTCAGTAGAAAATATAATTTCATAAGTAAAATTTGTTTTTGGTTGAATAGCACATTGTGTGATATACTCTGGTCCATCTGACCATGGGTTTCTTGGTTGTTTTACTCCATGCCTGCCATAAATTAGCAATTTAATTTCTCATGTACATTTCATATTTTTTATTTTTAGCAATATTGAATGGTTAATTCTATTTTCGGCCCCAAAAGTTTATTGAAATGTGCAATGCTATCTTTCAACAAATTTTTCCTATTATTTTCTGTTCTTTCTTTCCTAATTAAGTCATTTTACTTTAAATTATATTGTAATGAGCTGATAAATTTGAGCTAATTTATATCTTAAGCACAGTAGATCTGCTATGAAAAAATAAGGTACTGTGGACGTGAGTAACCCACCAAATTTCGAGAAATACTTACTTTATTTGAATAATTAAAAAAGAAAAGGAAATAAGATAGATGAAATGAAAATTAGAACCAATGAATGGTGACGCCGTAGCTTCCTTCATTGTATACTTTGACAAACACCGTATCTCCCCTATAAGCACGAATAACTGGACCTGGAAAGCTATTATTTACGACCAACATGCTTCTAGAGCTACACAGCCTTGTGAAGTTGGCTTCCTTCAGCTACATCAATTAAACTAAATTAAAGTCAATTGAATACATAAAATAATGAGCATACATAGAACCTACAAAACGGAAATGCTGCCAAACACATATATAAATTCAAGACGGGTAAATTGCAATTATCCCTGAACTTCTATTTCCTCTTTATTACTACTTTTCTCCGTGTGATTTCATCCTTTAGCAATACACCTACATGGCACGTTATTCTGCTCCATATACTTGTTTTAATTATAAACTTAGAGAAGATGGATTTTAAAAAAAAAAGTGGTTCATAATAAAAAAAAAAAGTTTAAAAAGTAACAACTATATAGGATTATAAAAATAAAGTATACATAAAATGTCAAATTTATCTAAACTCCCTTTGGCATGTTTGCCACCCTTCTATAAGGGATTACAAACAGGGTTGGACGTGAGACTAGCCAACTATCTTGGCAGAACCCTGGACAAATTGTAAAGTGCGGACTGAAGTAAACATGCATGAGATGAGAGTTAACATGAAAACTTACAACGAAATCATAGTAATGCGTAGCTGCAGAAGCCAAGAATACAACTGGAACGCTGCTAGATATCAGAAGGCAGAGAAAAAGCTGTGAGAGAAAACGACTCATATTCTTCGCCACAATA